GCGGCTGCACTAGGATGCATTCGTGCCTTCATTCATTCGTCCCTACAGTAAATGCTGACTGGGCACTTTCTATGCCAGACCCTGGCCTAGGGGCTTAGAAGCCACATCTAGGCGCAGGGTAGACCTGGTCCTCGTCACTGGTTGTGGGGGAGGTATTCACAGCCTCCAGAAGGAGAGCGACAGGTCACAAGTAAACCTTTGATGTAGCACAGCCTCAGGAGTTCTGTGATGGGAAATGATCGTGTCAGCGCTTACTGAGTGCTCACTGAGTTCTTTCTTGTTCTCGGAATGTTTCGTTGATACTATCCTGTCCTTGTTTTGTGAATGTAACATTTTCTCTTATCTCTCTGCGGGTTTTTCATTGTTTTACGTTTTCTTTGCTCCCATGCAGTGTCCATTTCCTTCTTGCTTTTCCCCTTTGTTTTGGGGTTTATTTTTCATATTCGAGTCTGATATCAAGTGGCTAATGACGCTTGGCCTCCATTTTTAACTGGGGAGCAGAAAAATGGATGATCCCCCTTGGGGTGGGCGAGGTTTTTCTCTTGGAGTCTTTGCTGTAGGATGTCCTCCCCCGCGGAACCCTTGTACCGGGCAGCCATGGCTGCTGAACAAATAACCCCCAGACCTCTGGCTTCATCGTCTGCCCGTCTCGACCCCACCCAGGCTGCTCCAGCCACACAGACTTCCCCGGACGCGCGGGGCTGGCTCCTGTCCCAGCCCTGGCCGTGCCCCTTCCGTGGAAGGCTCGTCCCTGAGACATCCGAATGGCTCACTGCTCAAATGCCATCTCGTCCGAGAGGACGTCCCCCCCATCGTCCTCCGTTATTTTTTGCCGTAGTACTTGTCACCTCTGACATACTGTGTATCGATTTCATTGTTTACATCTCTCCTGTCACTAGAATGTAAGGGCCACGAGGGCAGGGGCCTTGGTCATTTTGTCCATTACTCTTTGCAGTGACACTTGACACTTAATAAATGTTCCGCAGTCGTTGCTGACCAACTCAGTGACAACAGGGTGGTATTTTTTCAGTTCAAAAATTATATATATACCAAAAAAAAAAAAAAGATTATCTATATGCGTGAGCAGCCAGTGGTCAGAGAGGGGCTTGCTAAGTGACTCTGGCATAATAGGATTTCAGATACAGTTGATAATTATGTTCACTGCAAACAAAGACCGCCCCTGGGAGGGGAAGAGGTTTCTGCAAGACTCTAGTTAATAACATGTTTATTAACCCGTCAATACAGAGCCTTGCTTTGTGTGTGTTTCTGTTTAAAGACACCTCATTTAATATGTATCGGTGATTCATTAGCGTTGAACCCACAGCCAACAACACGGTAACTCATGCCTCAAGGAAGCTTCTCTCACGCATGCGTTTTCTCCATGAGGCACAGCACAGCCTTCCTGCACTTAGAAGCTCTAGACCGAGGCACCTACGAAAAGTGCAAAAATGCAAAGAATGGCACACAGTAGGACAGGAAAAGTACAGTCGTTCTCAGTATGAGAGCTGGAACAGGAAGGCAGGGCGCCCCCCTGCTCCACCTCAGTCGGAAATTGCACGTTGGGTGGCTCGAATTTTTAGCCGTTCTGCGTAAGTCCAGGAATGAGCAGCAGAGCAACCCGGGTGTTGATTTGCGAGGTCACAAATAAATTTTAGCAAGTCGGCGAATTTGCAGAATCTACACATCGTGAGGACCCACTGCCGTTCACGGTAGATCCATTCTGTAATTTAAGGTAACCCGAAATATTTTCATCCGATGATGTTGTCGGAAATAACAGGAAAATCAATATTGATGTGTCGTTTCCCGAGTTAAACTCTTACCCCCAGGGAGCTCACAGAGTCCCCGGGGGCCACTGACCCGGAAGCACAAAGGAAGTGGGCTTTGACCCAAGTGTGGCCGCCAGGTCCTGAGGACACCCTGAAAAGGGGCATGAGGGCTTCTCGGGGGGCGGCACCTGGACAGGCTCTCCGATGTGTAGCCCCCCACAGGTGGGAGGCACACAGAGGCCCCGCGGAAGCACAGACGTGAGCCCACATGACCGCTGGGGCTGGGGAGCGGATGGCTACAGTCCCGGGGCACTAGGCATCAATGCGTCACCTCCCCCCGCACCAACACCACCACCTTTTTATTTCAGAAAGACGACACTCAGCGTCTGGTCAAGAATTTAGAGTCTAACGTACAGACCCCCTCGGAGACCGGCTCCCCACCCAGGCGGAGGAAGAGAGAAGCACGGACTTCGAAGGACGAGGAGGCGCTGGACGTAAGCTGGGCGTTGGGCTGTGCTTGCCAGGGTGCATGTTGGGTGTCCTGTGTCCCACCTGGGACATCTGCCATCCAGATGAGCCTCCGACAGATCTTATGCCCCGATAGACTTTCGTTTTGAAGTATCATTTACATACAGTAAAAGGCACCGATTTTAAGTTTCCAGTTTGATGAGTGACAGGCGTATGTACCCCTGTGACCGGTACCCCAGCCAGGAACAGTCCCTCACCCTGGGAAGCTCTCCAGCACCCGTTTCTGGTTCACACCTCCCCGCACCCCCGGCCCCGTGCCCTTCCAGAAGCAGCTGCTGCTGTGACTTCCGGCACCGTGATTGGTTTCACTGCTGTAGAATTTTGTGTAAGTGGAATCACGTGCTTTGTTTCACCATATTCCCTCAACGCCCTGCTTCTGAGATCCAGCCAAGTGGTTGCACCTGTCAGTTATTCATCCCTTTCATCGCTCGGTCATCGTGGGGATGTGCCACGGCTTGGGTAGCGTCCAGGAATGAGGCTGCTGTGAATGTCTGTGTGTAAGTTTGTTTGTTTGTTTTCATTTTGTTTTATTTCTTTTAAGTAAATACGAAGTAAATATCTAGGAATGGGACTCCCAAGCCTCTGATGGAGGCGGTTAAAGACGAATTCTCCTGGTACCTTCCTTCCTGGCCCCCTACTCTGCCCAGCTCCAGCCTACCTGGGGCATCACTTCTCAGGGGTGCTCCGTGGATGGAGAGAGCATGCCCTCCAAAGGTGTAATATTTGTGGTCACTTCCCGGTCCCCAGAAAGTACTGCAGACTCCAGTCATTCAGCCTCGATTGCCCAGAGGTAAATGTAGATATTTAGGCAGGTAGGCAGGCAGGTAGGCAGGCAGGTAGGCAGGCAGGCAGGTAGGCAGGTAGGTAGGTAGGTAGGTAGAGAGAAAGAGAGAGCGATTGTGGGGAAAGGGAAAGATTGAACTAAGATTTTTTCAGCACCTACTGCTTGCCAGTCATTCTCGCGTCTCTCCTTTTGCGTGATGTGGAGACTCACGCGAGTCTTGCATGTTCTCTCAGCAGCCGCAGGAGGCAGATCTCATTTCTATCTCCATTTTCCAAGTGAGGAGACCGAGGCTCAAGGAGACAGCTCGCTGACCCGAGCGAGTCACATAGCTGAGACTTGGGCCTGGGGAAGGCTGCCTCCCCCACCTCACAGCCTCTGACACTCAGGTCAAGTTCGGTAGCCTCCGCTTACCGAGGAAAGAAAGTGGGCTGCATGTCATAAAACGACTTTTGCCAAAAAAAGTTTTAAATCAAGAGGGGAAGCTTCTAGTTCGGCTAAAAAAGCAGTATTCCAGCATCACCCCCGTGACTTCCCAAGGATTCTGGAGACAGAGCTTCCTCCCCCCGACCCACACCCCCGCCCTGTGCTGGCCGGGCCCCCGTGGGAGGATTAGGGCGACACGGAGCTGGATGGAGGGCAGAGCTCCAGCAGCGGTGGCTCGGAGGTGAGCCGGCGCTGTCTCGGATGCGCTCCGTGTCTGTGGCACGTGCTCCCTGCCTCTCCGCTTGCAGGGTCTCGTCTCTCCATGCGTGTCTGTGTCTGCGTGCGTGTCCGTGTGTCTCTCTCTCCACGCGCGTCTCTGGGCTGTGTGTCCCTGTGACGGTGCGGGTGTGCGATGCCTGTCTCGCTTCCTCTCTCTTCCCCTCATCCATCTTTCTCTACCCTTCTGACGCCTCATTCCATATTAGTAAAATTCTGCTCACGGAAATGAAAACATGTCCACGCAAAAACGTGTGCACAGATGTTCACGACAACCCTATTCATGGTGGCCAAAACGTGGAAACCACACGTCCATCAGCTGGCGGTCCGTCCGTACGGTGGAATACCGTCCGGCCCTGCTACGACACGAATGACCCTCGAAAATAGTGGGCTGACCGAACGAGGCCAGTCACAAAAGACCGCATATTGCAGAGCTCCGGTCACAGGAAATGTCTGGAAGAGGTAAATTTACAGAGACAGAAAGTGGGTTGGTGATTGTGTAGGGTAGGGACGGAGTAGGAGAGATTGAGCTGACAGCTATGGAATTTATTTTTGAGGTGATGGAAAAGTTCTAAAATTGACTGTGGTCATGGTTGCACATATCTGTGACTGTAGTAAAAATTATTAAGTTGTACACTTTACATCAGGGGTCCCCGACCCCCAGCCATGGACTGGTGCTGGTCCGTGGCCTATGAGGAACCGGGCCGCACAGCAGGAGGCGAGTGGCGGGCGAGCAGCAAAGCTTCGTCTGTATCTGCGGCCACTTCTCAGCGCCAGCGTCACCGCCTCGGCTCCACCTCAGATCCTCAGACATTGGATTCTCATGGGAGCACCGGCCCCTGGTGCCACAAAGGTTGGGGACCGCTGCTTTACATGGTCGAATTGCATGGCACATGAATTATATTCAACAAAGCCATTAAAAACCAACCCTGCTCACACAAAGGGTGGCCTCGGATGTGACAACGACCTTACAACACTGGCTTTGGGATCCAGGATCCTGGAACCCAGTCCCGGCTCTGCCACCTGTTAGCTCTGTGATGTTGGGTGAGAAACATAACCCCTCTGAGCCTCAGGTTTCCCAGCTTTACTAGGACAGGAATGAGGCCAGCTCCCCGGGGTTCCCCGTGAGTGAGCTATGGACATTCCTGCCACAGAGTAAGTGCTCAGTTGACATTTGCAGGGGGCTAAGTCTTTCTACCTCCCCACCAGGCTAACTCATTTTTTCTACCTAGTAATGTTTTTCCTTCTAACTGTTTAGCTACGCCTAGCCAACGCCCATTATCAAGCTAATAATTTCCAAGAGTTCAGTTAAAGATCTGCCCGTTCCAGTGACTGGCTTGCCCCACCGCTCTGCCTCCTGCAGACTGAGCTAGTCAAAGAATGTGGACTGGACTGATTTCGACAGGGTGAGTTGAGCTGCAATGCCCATCTCCGCTGCACAGCGAACCAAGATGTTTTCGATGCGTGCCAATTTTTGCATGAACTCTGTTTTGATAAGTAGCTCGCATCGGCCAAAAGCAGACAGAAAATTCCAGAAGGCTCTGGGGCGTGCTGCTGCCCAGCCCGCGTTCTCTGCCTCCTGGCCCTGTGCACTGCAGGGGGGGAGGCGGGGCTCCCCAACTTGTGCGTTTGCCGAGAACACCGCTACGTCGGCGCGTGAAGAAGCTTCTCCTCTCCTACAGTGGTGCTTTAACTCATTTTCTGAATAAGCGTGTTGCTTCAGCTCAGGAAGTTTTACGCTGAGATGTGCGCTGCGGCCCGCTTTCCCAATGATTGCGTTGCCGCCAGAACCGGGAGGCCCTCTGAACTTAGGAGCCGTAAAGAACTACGCCCAGCGGCTCCTGTTCGCATCGCAGAAGCCCGTTCGCTGCCTGGCGCCCCGTGCTGAGTGCTTCTGGTCCTTCGCCCCCCGACAAAGGCCACGGCTGTCATCAGGGCCTGTCCTGGGGGGCATTGCAGTCTGCGGGTGGACGTCCCGGCTGGAGGCTGGCGGCGTGGCTGGCGGCGTGCCGGCCGCAGGACGGGCTTTCGCCCAGGGCCGCGGGCTCGCGGTCCCCAGGTCCCGTTCCGCACTTCTCAGGGGCCCCGGCGTCTCCATCCTTTACTTCTCAGAATTGCGCGTTGCGCATGAAGCGCCGGTTTTGATCGGCGTCTCCCCTGTTGAAGATGGACCCCTGGAAGGCAGGGGCCATGCCTTCCTCTCGTTTTCCATCCCTTTCGGTCTGTCTTCTCTTTCCACCTGTTTGTAAGGAGTTTAAAGATGCGCGGTGCTCTCGGCTTGGACGTGCAGGCTGGGCGGTCACACAGGCCCGGGTGCAGCGGCCCCTCCTCCCCGTTCCTGGGCTCTGCCGTCTCGAAACCCGTCAGTCATGTGGGAATGGGACCCCCATATTCATTTCGAACTGGGCCCCGCTAGTCCTGAAATCAGACTTCTAATTTACTGCTGTTCTTCGCTTTCGTACCCATTTTCCAAAAACACTTCCAGCAGAAAGTGGGGCTGGGGGCCGGGGGCTGAGGCTGGGGGGCAGGCTCTGCCCCCTCAGGTAAGAGGGGAGCCCAGGGGAGTTTTAAGGTGGGCACTGATGGGAATCTCATGTTTAAAAAATCATTTGATCGCCACGCAGAGGATGAATTGGAAGGTGTCAGCCTCTGAGCCTCAGTTTGCCACCCTACAAAATGGGGATGATCCTAACAGCACTGACCCCCCTCCCCAAGGTGACTGCTGTGTGATGACTAAATGGCCAATGTGCACGAAGTGCCAGCACACAGTAGGCCTTCAGTGCGTGGATGGGAGCCGACTGGGAGGCTACTGCTGTCCTCAAAGACGATGGTGGCGTAGGCCGGGGCTGTGGATTTGACGGTTGGCAGGTTTAGTTGGTGGGGTTTGTGGCTGATTGGATGCGGTGGGTTGGGGTGTGGGAACGACAGAGTCGCTCCGGATCGGACTTGTGTCCCTGGGCATGGAGGAGCCAAGTCCAGGGCCTTGGCTCCCCCTCCCCTTTTAATGTCCGGCTCTTACTCTTGTCCCGATCTGTGTCACGTTGAAGGAACCGTAATGGTGTCCGCTAAAGGGGAGGTACCCCAGAGCCAGGGAATCTGCGTGGAAACCCCGGTTCTGGCACTTACTAGCTGCGTGACCTTGGGTACGTGGCTTAACCTCTCTGTGTCCTATACGCCCCATGTGACACGTGGAGACACCAACCTCTGCGACAGGGCCCTGGGAAGCTCAGAAAGGTGGCACGTGTGGCTGCTCTTCCCCGATCTTGGCACTGAGGTCTGTTTCCGCGAGTCCTAAGGGTTGGGGAGAAAGGGCAAGGAGCGAGGCGCTCGCCCTGCTCGGGGGCGTCACGGGGTCCCCTCTCTGGGGGCAGACGGGGGCCAGGTGCCCCGCTCCCCAGGCGCTGTTTCAACACCACACGTTATGAGGAAGTGGCCAGTCTGTGTCCCCCGGGGTGGGACCCCTGCTCCAAGGTGACCTCGGTCATGGCCGTCGGTTCCTCGGCACGGAGCCCCGCCTTCGAGACTGGGCTGAAACGCACTGAAGCAGAAGCAGAGGCAGGTTTCACCCAGCTAGAGCTGTCGAGCAGAGCTCGCCCGAAGTCCGGGTGCCGGGCTCCCGGCTCACCCCCTGCTCACCTTCGTCCCCCTGCCGGTCATTTCCAAAGCATTCGTTCGGCACTGACTTTGCCCAGTGCCGGGGGCATCTCTGACCGGAGGGAGACACGGAGGGATGTGAGGATGGGCAGCAGGTGGGAGCACGTGTCCAGCTTCAGCCAGGGAGGCTCTTCCAGGAGGCGGTTCCCGAGTGGGGCTTGATGAGGCTCTTTGCCACCACCTGACAGCTGCCACGCCTTCGCCGCTGTCCTGCTCCAGCCACCCTGCCGGGCACTGGATCTACACGGTCCGCGGGAAGATTCGCAACCTGCTTACTGTCTGGGAAGACCGCAGCTCAGAGACTTCTCTGAGGCCCAAACACCTCCTTTTGTTTGAGGGTCCGGTCCAGAGTCTTGCGTGAAGATTGCCACACATAGTGTTCATACCCCCGGCAGTGCTAAATTCATTCTGCGTTTGCCTTTTCCACTAAAATGTGGTTCGCAGTTTTTAGGAACCCTTTTGTTAATTAGTCAGGTTATTTAAATTCTTGTTTCTTCCAAAGGTGAAGCCTTGGAATTAAATGCCATCCACCCATCTATCTGCCTATCTGGCCACATCTGTCTGTCCATCCATCTATCCACCCACCCATTTGTTCTTCTTTCCATCCATCTATCCATCCATCCATCCATCCACCCAGCAACCCATCCATCATCCAGCCATTCATCCACCATCTACTCATCTATCCATCCACTATCTACCTACTCATCCATCCATCCACCCATCAACCCATCCATCCATCACCCATCCATTCATCCATCATCCACCATCCATCCACCATTTATCCGTCATCCATCCATCATCCATCCACCATCCACCCATCCATCATCCATCCATGTATCCACCTATCTGTCCACCCACCCGCTCATCCATTCTCCCATCTTACTTGGATTTATATGTGCCTATTTGGTCCTGCCTGTGGCCACGGTACAACGGGACGTGGCATTTTGGAAACCCTTGGTGGTTTCTCCTTCATTTGACGGAAAGCCCTCATGCCGCCTGTCCTCTCTCCTCCCCAGGAACATGAGCCGTCTTTGAACAGCAATATCACAGCATTCGCGCTGAAGGCGAGAGTCGTCTATCCCATCAACCAGAAGTTCCGGGTGAGAGTCCTGGGCGCCATCTCAGAAACGCAGTTATTCAGTAACGTACGAGAGGTTGGGGTCGGAGTAGGGGGCTTAAATGAACAATTCTGGGTCCAGAACTTCACGGTTAATCCATTTGATGGCAGCGTTATCAGGATCAAGGTATGCCCATTGTATATCAAGGCGACACACAGTAGGACAGCATCCATCCTGCGCTTTTAACACTAGTGCAGATGCTGATAATGACAGTTACCAGCGTTAATCCCCGTTCACAGACCCCATGCCACTTACTAAACACACACTGTGAGGCTGGCCTCGCGCTAAGCATTTGTCACGCAGTAGGCATTTCAACCTCGGAATAGTCCTCTAAATTAAAGTACATTGTTATCTCCGGTCTACACATGAGGAAAGGAGGCCCAGAGAGGCTAATGACCTGCCCGAGGCCACACCGCAGGAAGGGGCGGGGCCGGAGTCAACCCCCCGCCCCCACCTGGCTCGAGGTCTTACACCGGGAGCCAGGAAGGAGGTCACGCCTGTGGCCCAGAGGTTTGCCAAGAGCCACGCGTTTCGTGGTGCCTCCAGGAGCCCTCGGCCTGTGAGATGCTCCGTGAAAAATAAGACTTTCCTGGTCAAGTAGGTTGAGGACGATGCTGCCTCCCTCTCCTGGCGGAAAAGGACAGGCTCTGTGGTCACGCCAACCGGTCCTAAGTCCTGCCTCTTTCTTGACTTCTCGGGGCCTCCGTTCCTTCATGTCCGAAATGGGGGTGATGGCCCCTCCGCCTCGCCCAGTTGTTTTGAGGGTCACACGGGGCGGTAGACATCAGGGCTTAGAACAGCGTGTGACGGGTAAGCATTCAGTACACGTTCGGTGTTTTAAATTCTTCCTTGCTCTTGAAGGCAGCCAGAGCACATCGAAGGCTCTGAGAATTCCTGCCCCGAAGAAATGATCCCCCTTGTTTAACACAGACTTTCCCAAATTAGGTTTTCTGCGGGACCCTCGTGGTGAGCACAGCGGTGGTCGTTCCTGGACCTCCTTCTTGGAACTCACGCCAGGAACCGCTCACTTCCTCTCCTTAGATGCCCGGTGGTGGGCGAGGGCCGAACTCCCAGACCTGGGGCGTTTACTCACCGTCGGCACCCACTCCCGGGTGGGCGCTGGGGAGTACGGCGGTCAGGACCCTCCCCCGCCCCCCCACAGTCTGCGTGGAGATCGCAGTGCAGCTTGTGGTGACAGGCAAGACAGACGTGACCAGGAGCCCGTGGAAGCTGGCGCAGGCCGGGCCTGGGCGTCTGTCTGTCTGTCTGTCTGCAGGAGTGAAGCCCAGCAGAGCAGTGGGGTGTCTCAGGAAGGGGGGCGGAGTCCGCTCTCTGGCCGTGCTGGGTGACCTCCTGTAGTCATGGCGGGGACTTCGTTTCCTTGATGAGGAGCTTTGAGCTGATCCGAGGGCAGCGGGAGCCACCTGGAAGGCCTGGGGGGTGGGCAGGAGGTGACACCCACATCGGCGTGGGTGGGGAACAGCGAGGTGGCCAGCAGGTTAGTGCGCAGAGCAGGCCCGAGAGTCTGAGGCGGCCGCAGTGGGTTCGGGGCGCAGCCGTGTGCAGGGGGCCATCGGGGGACAGAGGGTACTGAAACGGACTCACGGGGGGTCACGTGGACTAAGAGTCTGCTTTCTCTCCCTCTGCCCAGCCCCTGGCCGACGGCTCCTCCAACCCATCCCTGCACGAGAATTTAAAGCAGGCTGTCCTGCCCAACCAGCCGGTGGAGGCCTCCCCTTCCAGCAGCCTGGGGAGTCTGAGCCAGGCCGAGAAGGACGACCGCAGCTCCTCGTCCAGCATCCACTCGGCCACCAGCGCCGATAGGTTCCTCAGCCGCACCTTCCGCCGGCTGAACAGCTTCCCCGAGACACTGACCTGTGAGAGGTGAGGAGGGGGCAGGGTGGTGGGTGCAGTCCAGGGAGCCGTGTCGCTGTCGGAGGGGGAAACCGAGGCCTGACAGCGACACACGGCCACCCAGGGTCAGAGCTGGACCCCGTACCCTCTGTCACTTGCCACGTGGTATTGGCCAGCACAGAGGTTATGGAGTCGGGGACCTCCTTTAATCGCCAGTGTGTCCTGTGCGTTGCGTAGCAGCAGCCAGCACTGATTAAGTGCCTCACGTGTGCTGGGCAGAGTGCCAAGCCCTCCGCAGGGGTTGCTGGGTGCGTGAGCTCAAAGACCGGGTGTGTCTTGCTCACTGCTGTGTCCCTCTTGCCCAGGGGGAGCCTGGGACAGGTTCGCTGATGAATAAATATCAGTCAATGAATTAATGACCCGATGAGGTAGGTGCTGTCGTCATCCCCATTTTATGAGGAATAAAGGGAGACACAGAGAAGCCGAGTGACTTGCCCAGGGTCACACAGTGGATGGGGATGGAGCCAGCTCTGAGACCACCACCTCCTCTCCAGAGCCCACACTCTAAGTCGCCAAGGTGCCCAGCCCGGAGCTGGGCTCCGCACGTGGCCGGCCCTGGAGAAGCTCAGTCCGGCAGGTCTGCGGGTCTGTCCTCGAGCCTCTCTATACTCTGACGTTCTGTGAGTCCCAGGGACCCTGGAGGGGACGAACCAGGCAGGACACGGCCCAGCTCAGGGCCGTGGTGTTGACCCTGAAGGTGGCCGAGGGCAGGAGGACGTCACTGAAGAAGAGCCTTATGGGCTCCGCCTGCCTTGCCGGGAAGGGCCGTTTCTGAGCGTTTGGACTAAAAACAGTTCATGTGGTCATGCGGTCATTTAAAACGCAGTTGCCTGTGTGGGAAAGAAAGGTCAAAGACCTTTGTTTACACCCTGCCTCTTACCTGCCCTGTGACGCTGTGACCACTACTTGTCTTCTCCGACCTCGACTTCCTGAGTCAGTTCCCTCCTCATCTGTAAAGTGGGCATAAGAATGTCCACGTGACGGTGTCCACTGAGAACGGTGACATGTGATGCCAGACATGAGAGCCCCCGGCGGGAAATGTTAGTTTCCTTTCTCTCGCCTTCTGTCTCTTCCTGGTTTGTCCTTGATGTCCAAGAAGCTGGTCCCTTCTGGTCACAAGTGGGTTTCAGATCGCCCCTTTGAGTCTTTCTTGTGAACTTTGGGGGTTACTCTCGGGAACCTGCACACACTGCAGGATTTAAAAGCCGGAGCCAGGACGCCCCGGGGCTTGTGCCGAGCCGGGCTGCGCTGATGCTCTGTAAGCCGTCTCTCCTCTCCAGGGCTCTGAATGTCTGTTCTGCTTCTCGTGTGACCTTGCAGTGTGGACCTGGACTTGTGTATCTATAACCTTCACTTGAAAGACCTGCTACGTCTGGACACGGCGCTGAGGCAGGAGAAGCAGCTGGTAGGCGGGAGATGGGCTCGTCCCCCTTCCACGGCTCAGGAACTGGGACGCAAGGCTCTCTGTGCGCTGAGCCCTGGAGACCCCCGAGAAGTCACTGTGGGTGACGTGGAGCTGCCACAACAGGAAGGGAGAGCGACCTCGGACAACTGACCACGAAGTGGAAAAGCAGTTTGCGCCTGACGATGGGCACCGGCTTCACTTCACCCAGAGAGAAGCCGAGAGAGAGGAGGGAGGAGGGAGGGGGGAGAGGGAGGAGGAGGAAGGAGGGAGGAAGGAGGGGAGAGAAGAAGAAGAAGAAGAAGAAGAAGAAGAAGAAGAAGAAGAAGAAGAAGAAGAAGAAGAAGAAGAAGATGTACTACGTCCTTTCAGTCTGTTTCTTTATAGTGGGAAGAGGGAGCGGGGAGAGGGAGGGAGGAGGAAGGGGGAGAGGGGCAGACCGGTGTTCAAATCTCTCTTTGTTGTTTCTTTTTTTGGCAATAGATGTTTATTCAGATCTTTAAAATGTGCCTCCTTGACCTGCTTTCGAAAAAGAAGTCTGACGATGAATTATACCAGAAGATTCTTTCAAAACAAGAAAACGTAAGTCTTCAACCTATAGTTCAAGGTAACTTAAAAATAGTTTATCGCAATGTATAAAACTGACAATGTTGCGATATAAAGGTTTTTGCTTTCATGTATAAATATTTTATTGTACACTTTTAACACAATATAGAGGTATGAAAGTATGTGTATAGATGTAAAAATAATAATGCGTGTTATTAAAATGGGAAAAATATTGGAAGCAGAAAGAATATTGGTCATATCCACTATCAAAGAGAACCACAGTTGATATCATTTTTTGCACAAGAAGCTTAGGGTGTTTTTAAATATATAATTTTCCGAGACTTCATAAGGGTTGAGAGATATTCTTTCATTGTTTTTTAAGTCTGGCCTATGTTTTTGCGGGAAGGGAGGAGGAATGTAGACGAACCCAATCCATTTTTCTTGAGCGTCTATGTTTAACGAGAAAATAGATTTCCATCATCAAACCCTCACTGGAACAACACTCAGAGCATTTCATTACGGTTAAAAAATATTTTATGATCGTGTGGTGGAAAATGAAAGCATTTCTTTTCTAGAATTTAAAAATTAGAATTTTTTCTTTATTTGTTTTCTTTCTTTTTTCCCCTAGGACTTGGAGGAATTAGAAAAGAGACTTCAGGTCAGACTGTCCAACACGGAAATGCTGGGTGCGGGTGATTCTGAGTACATCACCCTGGCAGACGTAGAAAAGAAGGAGAGAGAATATTCTGAGCAGCTGATAGATAACGTACGTGATGGGTTTTCTTTCCTGTATAAAAACTGTGCTTTCTGGGACAGCTCAATGGATGAGATTAGAGATCCTACCTAGAAACATGTTTAATGCTCGAATTCCCTGTGGTGTCTGCCCCGGAGCCAGGCGTCCAATGTCTGAAGCTAAGTGATACCGAGGCGTAATTAAGGGCCAAGAGCAATAGAAGGAGGCTTTTTCAAAAAACGAATTCCCTTCGTTTCAATGTTAGATGGATCTTTTTAATATTCAAAGCGAAGATGGCTCTCACCCTCTATGTTACTACCACCTGACTTCTCCCGGGCTCCCAGGCGTCACTCATAAAAGCGTGCTTTAAATTCCGGGGAGAATGGCTTCTCGTGGACATCTCTTCTCCGCTTTTGGGTTCCGCTAACCCCTGTGCGTACATCTTGTATCAGATAACTATTTCCGTGGCCCCCAGGTGTTGTGTTGAACACTGGGGACTCAAAACAAACTTAGACCTGGTCCTGCCGGGAGAGATGCTCGCCAGCCTGGGGGTGGGGGTGGGGGGCTGACAGGTGAGCAGATGAGGACTTTATGGGTTACAGGTGTTGCGACAGGTGGCCACGCCGAAGGCTGAGGCACAGTGGAGAGGGGAATGCGTTTCACCCTGGGGTTAGGAACGTCTTCAAAGAGAGAGGGCCATCGAGAGGCTGTTTGGTGCTGGCCCGTGGGGGTGGGGCGCCAAGGGGCAGGCAGGGACCTGGCCCGAGCGTCTCATCTCGTGCCCGGGAACGGGAATCGGCGACGGTTTGCTGCAGAGAGCGGCTTGGTCCCATTCCTGTTTTAGGAAGACCGCTCAGGCTGCCGTGAGGGGCACAGTGAGCGCTCTTGGGCTCGTCCAGGAGGAATTCTGTGCAGGCCGTTGCAGTGGGGATGGAGGGGTGAGAAAAGCAGGGGAGCTGACAGGGCCGTGTGTGCAGAGGGTCAGCTCTACAGAAATAAGGACCCCAGAATGAGGAGCCAGTCAGGAGGGGAGGTGCTGAGCTCCGGCTTGACGTCTCGAGTTGGCGGTGCCTGGGGGTGCTGAGTCTCCCCCGAGCTCAGGTCGGCGGACGTAGAGAGCAAGGAGGCCGTCAGGATGAGACGGCCGAGGGAGGGCGTTTGCCCGATTCCAGTGGTCCCCGACTCACCGAAGCAGGGGGACCTCTCGTCCGTGTCTGCGCATTTCAGGCAGAGGATTCACGGAAGATTCTCTAGCGTGCTGGCCACCTCCAAAAATGGAGACGCCTTTGGCCGAAGAGTGTGCGTAGATCGGGTAGAGAAAGGAGCTCGTGGCTCGTCTCAGATCCTGCCAGTGGCGAGGGAGCAGGAGTCAAGGGTTGTGGAGACAAGAAGGCCGCGTACGGACTTGGAGGGACCAGGAGAGACTCATGTCACGGATGCCAGGGGGAGTCCGAGACTGGGGGAACGGAGCGGGCGCCCTGGCTCCCGGAGCTGGAGGAGAAGCAGCAGAGCGGGGCGGACACGGGGCTCCGTTTCGGGGGTGTGGGAATTCGTGGGCGACCGTCCACATCCTCTCGTAGCAGCTGCGAAGGAGGCCGTGTGTCGGGCCAGAGCAGGGGGTGACCGATAGGATGGGGGTGGGGAGAGGAAATATATTTTAAAGCAGGATATTTCCGTGGTCAGCATGGCCTCTGCCATATCGCTCCTTTGTACTTTTAGGACAACGATATTTAAACGGCCACTCATGCTTTTATTTCCAGGACATGCTTAATCCCTTTTAAAGATCTGGAAGCTTCTAGGAACACACGGGCAAACTTCACGCACCACTCCGCCCCCCGGCCCCCCCACCCC